CTGGGTCATCAGTATGCCTCCCCCTGATCTGTCATAATGACAGCCATGTTGTTATAATAGGCAAGGGGTGACTCCTGTCCAACCCCTTTCTCCTGTCCTGTCCCTCACATCTCCCTCTGCCTTTGGTGATTTTCACTCAGCCCGTTTTCACAGACTTGCAATGCCCCGCACCTTGATGCTCCCAAAATAACACCCACTGCTTAGAAATCCAAAGGGTAGTATTCTTGAGCTGTTTGCCACAAATCTATCCTGGTCAAAGCAGAGCATTGGAAGAGAGGAAAGCAACTCTAATTTTGTTCCACTTCTGCAGTGAAGAAGACCTCTACTGGATCAGACCACAGGTTGATAATGTCCAACGTTATGTATCCTATGGTGGTCAACCAGATGTCTATGGCAAGCCTACAAGCAGTACATTAGTTCAATAGCCCTCTCCCACTATTACTATTACAGTAATATCTCCGCAAACGTCCGCCTTGTCTAGTGTCCATTCTGGTGAACATCCGCAGTAAACTCGGAAGTGCCAGAATGGGTTACTTCCGGGTTTGCCACTTGCGCATGCGCAGAAGCACAAACCGCTCCACTCGTGTGCACAGACGTGGCGCTTTGCCCTGCATCCTTTTCAGCTAGCGTCCGGGGCTCTGGAACGGATCCCAGCTGCAAAACGAGGTACGACTGTACAATTACGATCACTAGCAACCACTATTAAGAGACATGCTGCCTCTTAGAGGCTTTCCTGACTACCAGCCATTGATAGTTTTGTCCTCCATGGGCATCAACTTTTGGCTCAGCCAATATTTTTGGAAGGGGGCTGCCCCCCTCCATGTCCAAAACAAGGGGGGGAGGCCGAGTGTGGAGCAGAGCATGGCACAGCTTCAGTGGCCAGCTCCTCCTCCTCCTCCTGTGGAGGGCAAGGAGGGTTGAAGCAGCCCCACTCTGGCGGTGGAGGCAGGAGGAAGAGGAGTTGTTGATCATTGAAACCATGCTGCTGTTATGTTTGGCTCCACCCCAGCTCCTCCCAATGTCCGGACGTTGTGTGCATGCAACGTCACACATGATGCTGGGCATGCAACGTTGGCTCCCCCAATTGTCCTCTCAAGCCTCTGCCCCCATGAATTTCTTTAATTCACCTTTAAAGCTACCGCAGTTGGTGACTATCACCATATCTTGTGACGACACATTCCATAGCTTAACTATATGATATGTGAAGTAGATACTTAGATGTTTCTCCTTGACCAGTTTCAAGAAGTTGGTTTGACCAGTTCCAAGCTAATCTCACTGTAACCACTTCCGAGCTGATTTGACAATAGAGAGTGTTTATGATACCGAAGCTGGAGGACTTGAATTTCCAACATTTTTTTCAAGCAGAGCTAGCAAAGAGAAGGACAGGAAGAACCTCAACTTTGCTTCTTCAAAAGCACTGCTTTTGGAAAGTCCTGGTGAATTCATTCCCTTTGATAAGAAGTTAGGCCTGTCAGTCACAAAAGTCCCACCCCTGTTTCCCCACCCTGCTGTTTTCCTTATATGATAAGTGTCCACACACTGCCTGTGTGATTGCTCTCCAAGGTACCCCAAAGCATTTCAAAGTTCCCCACTTTAGTTCAGAACATTTCGAACAGATCACACAGCATCTCAGAGAAGTTTTGGATCTCTCTGAAATACCCCATTATGCCTCTAATTCAAATCTCATAATCTTGTCACCTTGTTTGCTCTTTGTATTAGACTTGGAGTATCAACACTGCAGAATAATGAGAGAAACATTTCAGATTATTAGTCCAGTGTTCCACTCTTGTTTTGTTCCTCCCTTTCCCCATCCTCACCTGGCTGGCAGCCTACTGTTTATATTCTGCTTGCCGCAACTAGTCAAGCAACCTAGCAAGTACAATGACAAGGTGATAAGAAGCGCTCAGAGATTTAAATAGCTTGCAAGCATATACATCACACGGTTGTTATTTCTTTTCTTTTCCATCACAGGTTTACAAAGGTTACGGATAAGACTTGCATAACAGGGTTGTTGTTGTTGTTTTTAAAAAAGTTCTCCAGCTGTTAGGTAGTTTGCAGAACAAGCCCTCTGAGGCACATTTAAAAACTAAGAATGGAAACCAGGAAACAAAGCAAACACACACACAACCCCATTCTAATAATAATATCAAAATGGAACATTTTCTCCTAAAACAAGACTGTCTGTACCATGCACTGTTTTCAACACGTTCCAAATACGGTAGCAGATTGCATGGTGGGGCACTGATGCTGGTTTGACCTTCCAACAGCTGAATCATGGCTGCTTACCAGGAGTGGGAGGGGGAAACATTGAGGAGGTAGATGTGGTGCAAACACACAATGCAGCACTTCTGCTGGTCTGTTTGCACCACTCCAACTTATCTGCTGCCTCACTTCTCTCTGTGCTGGTAAGTGGCATTTTACTGCAAATTCTTTCTCATATCCACATGATTGCATGCAATTTTGCTAAAACACACAATTTTTGGAAAGCATTTCACCCCAAATAATGTATTTTTTTTTAAGGGATGTGGGTGGCACTGTGGGTTAAACCACAGAGCCTAGGGCTTGCCGATCAGAAGGTCGGTGGTTCAAATCCCCACGGCGGGGTGAGCTCCTGTTGCTCGGTCCCTGCTCCTAGCAGTTCGAAAGCATGAAGTGCAAGTAGATAAATAGGTACCGCTCTGGCAGGAAGGTAAACAGTGTTTCCGTGCGCTACTCTGGTTCGCCAGAAGCGGTTTAGTCATGCTGGCCACATGACCCGGAAGCTGTACGCCAGCTCCCTCGGCCAATAAAGCGAGATGAGCGCCGCAACCCCAGAGTCAACCGCGACTGGACCTAATGGTCAGGGGTCCCTTTACCTTAATGTATTTTTGCACACCATTTTCAGTATATGCATTTTTGTGCAAACTACTTGACTGAGGAACTGCCCTGCAAAATTCAAAGGATTTCACAAGATGGCTGGGTTTTGGTTCCCATACCGTTTCAGAAACTATGGATTAGGTTGCTTTGCATTTAAATGCTGATTGAATAGATTCTCTCCTGCACCCCTACTGAATGAAAGATTGCATTAGAACTTCTCCACCCTCTCTCCAGCCCCACAATGCACCCACCCAAAGTTACTCTGGGAGTCCCCCTCCCCACAGCCCTCTGGTGAAGATTTGAGGGAAGTGCAGGGAGGACAATGAGGGAAAATTCCATTGCATTTGCAGGAGTTGTTCTGCTCACGCAGCAATTTAGTTGGATTCAGCCCCCGGTGAGCTCCCCATCTGCAGTGTGAAGTGGCACAGTCCTGACCCAGGATTAACACCTCGGTGAGGACTGGACCATTGATGGCCAAGGCTTGTTCTGGCATGACTTGGCAGTGGGGTGAACCCGTTTCATTATGCCTTCATTTGCTTTTCAGTGCCATCGGCGGCTTACTCGAAACGTGAAGATTTGTTCCTAGCTGGAACAACAAGTGAAAGGGAAGAAGAAGAGGAAGGCTGCACGAGGGGGGAATAGTCTCAAAATGTATATTCCAGCATTAATGACATCCAAAGCAAAATTTAGAAGCCTCATGGCAGGAACGCCAGAGAACAGTGTGAAAATTAACAGATGCACATTGCCAGCCCACACATCGCAAAGTGCAGCTCTGTCGAAGCTAATTATGAACTTGTATGATTGTAGGCAGAGAGAGAGAGAGAGAGGCCTGTGGGAAGCAACACAGAGCATTTGAACAAGATGAACAGAACAAGTTCTCTAAATAAACCTTGCACACGTTGATGTTTGTTTGTTTGTTTGCTTGTGTGTTTTTCAAAGTATGCACATTGTAGAAGAAGAATGCCATTTTTCTCCTAAATTAAAACCTGGCCCCACGTTTGGTGTTCAAAGGGATATCTGAAAGATGAGCCAGATCTTTAGTTGCACAAGCATCCTCAGAGGTAGGCAGAATGCAAAATGGACTCTGCATAGTGGCCAGGGACATGTGGAAAGTCACAGGTTTGACCCCTGCACTCTCCCATTGCACAAATTATGGTGCCTGGGATAGGAGTCTGATTTTCTGAGGATCTCATTGTCAATTGTATCCACATGGATGTTTTTCCTAATTCCAGACTTGTTCCACAATCTTGACCAAAAAGCAAGAAGTATTTTCACAGTTCTGCTAAAAATAGGAATATTTTTTGCATATTGTATCCATTCTTGCACATATATATATATGCACATATTATAAACAGATATTCGTGTCAGGTTTCCTAAAGTAACCAGCGCATAAAAGATCCTTACAACGCTGCATATCTTACTATATAATAAAAGTGTAAGAGTGACATCATGCAGCAGCAATTTGCTTGACCATTGCCAATGTGCTGGATCTTTTTGTCCCATGCAGCCCAGTACTGTCCACTTGACTGGCAGGTAACTTAGGGCTAAGCTAGACATGAGTGATGTTAATTGCATGAATGCAATTGGTTGGTGTGCTATTATTATTATTATTATTATTATTATTATGCTTACATGGCAAAATGACTTCTAAGTGGTTTACAAGTACAAAATCAATCCCAAAATATCAACACATCATTAAAATACACAATAAAACAATGCTATTCAAACATTAAATGAATCTGGAATTAAAATGAAAATATGCAGTGAAACAAGCTCCTTTAAACGCATAACAATCAAAACAGTAGAAAGAGCAATTAAAACAATTAGATTGAGAGGTTCAGGTTTCATGGAACAGGTGTGTTTCCAAGAGCTGGTGAAACCTCAGTACCAATGGGGCATCTCATCATTCAGCAGGGAGAGCATTCCACAACACTCTGCTGCCTCTGTTTTCATTAGGTAAGTGGCAGCCACAGGGGAGCTCATGCAACCTTCGTACCATTGCAGGTGGAGCTTAGCTCTTTCTCTCCTTACCACAGTGCCAACAGCAAACATCTCTCTGAAACTGCTCTTTGCATTTCACAGGCACTCCTCTTGGTGCCAATGGAGAATTGCTTTCAAATGCAAAAAGCACCTTCAGATATATATATGTGTGTGTGTGTGTGTGTGTGTGTGTGTGTATTAAATCAGGGAGACTATCAGGGTAATAAAAATATAAGTGCTTCCCCTCTTCGTGGTTTCAAGGGTGCTCAGGCTTTCCGACAGCTGCTATTTACATAACCAAAACACACACACACACACACACACACACACACACGCATGCATGTTAATTGCATTTGTGCAATTAATGTCATATCTAGGCTGGCCCAGAGAGACTGGTCTTCCCTGGAGAAGAATTTGGTGGATCTGCCCAATCATGGTTTGCATGCATTGGACCACCTCTTATAGGGTTTGTTGTTGTTGTTGTTTTTTAAAAAGGTAAAGGACCCCTGGATGGTTAAGTCCAGTCAAAGGCGACTATGGGGTTGTGGTGCTCATCTCGCTTTCAGGCCAAGGGAGCCAGCATTTGTCCACAGACAGCTTTCCAGGTCATGTGGCCAGCATGACTAAACTGCTTCTGGCACAACAGGACACCATGACGGAAACCAGAGAGCACGGAAATGCCGTTTACATTCCCGCCGCAGCAGTACCTATTTATCAACCAGTAGCTGAACTGGGTTCCTAACAGTCACAAAAACAAAACAAAAAGAGCCGCAAAAACAAAAATGAAAAATAAATAGCATAAACAGCGTAGCACTCAAAACGGAAGTTTCGGCTTCCAAAAATAGTTCTTGCTTCCGGGTTTGCAGTGTTTGAGTTCCAAATTGTATGAGTACGACAGCGTTTGAGAACCAAGGTACCACTGTAGTTCATCTGATATGATGCGACCCACTTTGGGTGCAATCTTGTGAGGCAAGTGGCATACCAAGATGATCAGATGGATGGTGATAGCTGAGTGATCCTTCCAAAAATGGCTACATTTTTCTCTCACTCCCTGTTCAATTTAATTCCCCTGCCTTTCAATTGTGCCTTTCATTTTTCTGTGTGCAAACGTGCTGAGTCGAAGTTCTCTCTCTCCCCACCCCCAGCCCACTTTCCTCCCTGCCAAACTCTCTAAAACCTCATCAGTGTGGAGACAGAAGAGGAGCTCCACAGTAATGTCCTGGCCAGTTGCCAACAAACCTACTTTACATCTGTAGGAATTCAATTGCAGTTCCTATTTATTGGCAGATTCAAGCTAAAGGGTTCGAGTCCCTGAGAAGCTGGTTGCATTTGTGATAAATTCCTCTAAGCTGAGTTGCTGCTTTCCATTAAATTCTGGTTAATTGAGGGAGGAAAGACGTGGCTTCAGGACTAATAGAGAGTTCTTAACAATGATCCCTCTTCTATTGGAGACAGAAAGAAAGCTTGAAAGACACCAACACCAACTTTATTATTATTTTTTAAAGGAAGGAAGAAAATGGAACTCCAAACTTTCACTTAGAAGTTAGGCAGCAGGAGTCAACAACTTATACTGTAAACTACCTTGACCTCTTTAGATGAAGGTCAGTATAAAATATTAATTAATAATAAAAATAAAATAAACAAGAGGAAAGGGGTGAGGTCTGGTCCACTTGCCTGCTCCCTCCACTGGTCCCCACTTTTTTTTTACTTACTCACATATTTACACACAAGTCCCTCTTACAGAACACAATGTGTTTCTTGGTAATCATTTGTTATGGGTTCATATAATGAGTGAATGATTTCCATTGATTCCTATGGAAACATTTCTAATTCGGGATTTGTCCAACCTACATAGTTGAGCTTTTGAACTCATGATCTTGGTTACATTGAATTTCAATTTATGCCTTGTGTGGATATTATTTTGAGTCATAATACCCATTGCATTGGGACACTCAGTGTATATTATACTTCCATTATATACAGAACACTGTTGTGTTTGTTTTGATTAGATTCTATTCTCTGTATTCCTTCATTGTTGGATATTGATCTTTCCTGCTCCTAGATTTGACCAGTCTTGTTCCCTCGCTCCCTCCCTACTTGGTTTATGGCCCCCAAACTGCTGCCACTGACCAGCAGAGCACAAACAGGCAAGGTAGTGGGCAGACTTTGGATGTTTGGATATCTGAATCTGTGTTATGTATAGTGAGGTGTGAGCATCATTCTCTACATTCAGATAAGCAAATGTTCATGTAGCAAGTGGGCGGATAGCACAACCTGTGTGTATTTTATTCCATTTAGGAATTGCTTCCGAGGAAACAATTTTAACAAGAAAACATCGACAATAAGAATGTATATAGGCTATCTAGCTCCGCATATTCTGTCAGTTTTTGAGTCCATTTATGGATAGAGTGATGAAATCCCCTCTATCCATGAATGGACTCAAAAATTGATAGAATATGGGGAGCTATATAGTCTATCTGAGAAAATAAGAATAAACCAAAACACCAGTGTGGTGTAGTGGTTAAGAGCAGTAGACTTGTAATCTGGTGAACCGGGTTCGCGTCTCTGCTCCTCCACATGCAGCTGCTGGGTGACCTTGGGCCAGTCACACTTCTCTGAAGTCTCTTAGCCCCACTCACCTCACAGAGTGTTTGTTGTGGGGGAGGAAGAGAAAAGGAGAATGTTAGCCACTTAGAGACTCCTTCGGGTAGTGATAAAGTGGGATATCAAATCCAAACTCTTTTTTTTCTTCTTCTTCTTCTCAAAATGGGAAATCTTTAAAATATATTTGAAAAATAATTATAGCAGTTTAAACTCTGCCGCAGCATTTGAATAATTTCAGTGGTAGCTTTAAGAAAGATGCGAGACCTAAGATAAATTAAGAATTAGTTAAATTATGATAAAAGTGTGTATTGGCAACAAGTAATATATAACTGAAGTAAGGAATAGACGGGTGGTCTGGTCTATAGTCAAAAGACCAATTTTTGCTTTATTGTCTTGTGAATAATATTCTGTTCCTTATTATTTTCGTTTGTATATCTGTTTTCCTTTTCTTTCTCAGTGTATCAATAAAAAATCAAATAAAAAACAATGTCATATATAAAACAATGAAAACAATGTCTGTCTGTCTATCTATCTATATCTATCTATCTATCTATCTATCTATCTATCTATCTATCTATCATCTATCTATCTGTCTGTCTGTCTGTCTGTCTGTCTGTCTATCTATCATCTGTCTATCATCATCTATCTATCTATCATCTATTTATCTCACACTAAAAACCAAATCCCTACATCATTTATAGAATCATAGAACTGTAGAGTTGAACTCCAACCTCCTGCAATGCAAGAATCTCACCTAAAGAATCCATTACAGATGGCCATCCAAGCTCTGCTTAAAAACCTCCAGCAGTGAAGGGGAGTCCAGCACCATCCGAGGTCATCTGTTCCACAATCGGACAGCTCTTACTGTTTCCTGATCCAACAAGCTCTTCCAGTCAGCTCATGCACCCATACCAGTGACCAGAGGAAGAACGACCACAGGAAGGAGTGCAGAGAGAAGAAACGCCATGTGCAGCAGTAAAACTGGACACTGCCCCAGATGCAACAAAACATGTCTCTCCCACACTGGTCTCTACGGCCACAGCAGGCACTGTAACTCTCCAATGGTTTGACTTCATCTCCAAAGGCACACTCCTCCATCGTCTCCTGAGACAGACGGATGCCAACCAAGTGACTCGATTTCATTGGCCGTATTCTGAGCATGGATAAAGTTGGGTATCACACAAAGGCAGAGCAGTCCTTCCCCACCCCAAATAATCAAACAGTGGGCAGCCACGTTCTGTGTCCTTGGCTTCTTTATGACTCAGAGGTTTTATTTCTGCAAAGAGAGGTTTCAAGGCAGAGGGGAAAGGCTTAATAAAGCTTTCCCTGTTGGGAAAAGCAACCTTGTACTCTTTCCCCGGTTCCTCGCAGAAGCATTAATCTGATTTTGGTCTTCCTACAGCAGTGCTAATTAGTTACCTAATATTAATTATAGTAATTACACACATACCTAGCTGTAGAACTATTAGAGAGCTGATTAGAAGTAGGGAAAGAGATAGACGAGGATGTTCCCGAGGCGAGTCGGTTAATCGGCTCACAGCTGTTTCCTGCTGCAAAGCTGCTGGTTAACATTTGAAATGCACTCCAAAGTGAAATCCCAAGTGACGACCTTTTTTTTTTTAAGGGTTTGCACTGGATCAAGGTCTCAGGTTGCAGAAATAGTGTGTGATGAACATTAAACCAGCCTTGCTGCTGAAGAACAAGTGAGACTTGAAGCCACACACCTTTGCACAGCACCATCTATTGTTGGATGTGCAACACTGCAGCATGTGCAATGCTTTCTCCATGGTCTCTTAACCTTTATTCAGTAGCTTAGTAATAATAATAATAATAATAATAATAATAATAATAATAGAGAGCAACTGGCCAAATATTTTTTTTAAATAATATTTATTACTTTTCCAACAATTTGAACACACACAAAAATAAAAATAAAAAAGAACAATACAATACAAAAACACTACACAACACATTAAACTAACAAAACAAAACAAAAACAATAAAATAAATCAAACAATTTCATTATCCCATCTTTCATTCACTTATTTCCACGACCTCCTCACACCTCCCTTTTTGTATTCCACTTCTGTTAATTATTTCAGCAATTCCTTTCCATCTTCCTCTGTTTTCTATCCTATAATTATCTTAACTCATTCTAACCTTATTTTTCCCTTTAATGCTCTATTAATCTATCTATACTTAATTCCTTATAACATTTCTACTAAAGCCATATAACTTCATTCCAACGCAACTGGCCAAATAAAAAGAATTATCAGTGGCAAAATAAAATATATAGAATTTGGCTAATTAAACAATCAATGACCTTTTAAACTGAGCATGTGTATGAAGGGGAGGATTAATAATAATAATAATAATAATAATAATAATAATAATAATAATTTTTTATTTATACCCCACTCTTCCTGGTTCAAAAACTGGGCTCAGGGCGGCTTACAACAAATTTAAAACACTTTAAAACACTTATTTATAAAAGCAGCATAAAATACAGTATAAAAACATGAATAACAATAAACAATACTGTTTTGTTTGTTAATATTTTGTGTATTTTTGTGTTTTCATACTGTAAACCATCCTGTGGTCCTAAGATGAAGAGCGGTATAGAAATTTAATTAACAAATAAATAAGCAAGACTCCTTTAAAATGGGGGCTTTCTAAAATGCCGGGAAATCTTACTACAATTTTAAGTGGGACTTCCAATTCCCACTTCTCTCCCC